ATTTTAAAAAACAGGAAAAAAGGTAATTTATGGTTTTTTAGAAAATTGACGGCTAAATTAGAAATATTCGCGAAATGACTAATGTTAAGCATAATTTTTACAGTTCGATATACCCAGAAGAACCCTGTGAAGTTTCATCTCGATCTAGAGAACCGTTTCTTTGTTTCAAACTATCAAACTTTTGAAAAAAATTAAGGGATCACGTTTTTTGAGCTTAAACACTTCATAATCATGATTAAAATGGAAAAAAAAATGTTGAGGGTTTTTTCACATTTTCACAGCAAATAACCTTTAAATTAATGAAAAAAATAAAAATTCGAAAAATTTTCGAAAATATTTTTGAATTTTTTTATTGTTTTTTTGAAAAACCTTCCGGACATTGAAGAAAATAAAATCCTATTGTTTCCAGCACGAGTCTATTTCTGTTCATCAACTTTTAATTAAATTAAAATTAAAGTTGATGAGACCCAAACCAGATTTCGACCCCAATTCATACCAATGAATTTCTAATTAATTTTTGTGCAGTCACTCAAAAGACAGTTTTTTTCAAAACTACCCTTTTTCTTCTCCGAAAAGAAATTTTCAATTTTTTTTTTCGTCAGGTTATTTCCGGTAAAAATGTGAGAAAAAATTTTTGTTTTCATTTTAATTATGATTATGAAGTGTTGAAGCTCAAAAAACGTGACCCTTTAATTTTTTTCAAAAGTTTGACTCCTTGAAACGGTTCGCTAGATCGAGACGAAACTTCACAGGGTTCTTCTGGGTATATCTATAACTATAAAAGTCATGCTTAACATTAGTCATTTCGTGAATATTTCTAATATAGCCGTCAATTTTCTAAAAAACCATAAATTACCCGTTTCTTCCTGTTTTTTAAAATTCGTGTAAAAGATGAAAAATTTTTTCCGAAAAGTTGCGGCAGCATATTATAGGAAATTTCTTCCAGTTTTCGAAAGTGCCCTTCAATTGTACGACCATTTGTCGCCGAGATATCGATGATTGAAGACAAAAGGATCCTTTTCCATTAAAAGTCCGATATTTCGATGAAATATAGTCGTATCGAAATTTAAAGAAATGAAATTGAAGCTGAATAAACAAGCTATCTGGTCCATGCAATGACTTAGCTGAAAAAAATTTTTCCAAGTCCGTGGACTCGGAAAAAAAAAGAAAATTTGCAAAAATTGTTTGTCGCACTATTTCTTAGAATTGCATAACCGTAGCTCCTAAAAAATTTCGACCGAAAGATCTAAAAACTAGAATCTTAGAGCTTCAAAATACTTGTTTTTAATTCCGGATACGACCATTTTTCACCTAAATACAGTCAAAAATCACGGAAAAATTTCAGAAATTCTTTTGACCCTTCAATTGTTTGCATTAGTGTATATGTAAAAGCATACGCCATAAACATCAAACATAAATATATACATACCACTATAATGAGAGTTTGACGCTTCGGTGCATAAATAGGACGTAGGGAAACGGGGCTGTGGGTTTGCATCGTGAACCGTATTAGTGGTTACAAGAAATTTTAAAATGTCTCGTTTTTTCGATCGACACTCCTGATTAAACAAAATATAATTAATTGTAATTATTTATTTGTGGCATTTCCTACTTATGCCACACTAAACTAAACTAAATATCCTACTAAATCTATGGAAAATAAAATTTATAAAACGCTACACACACATAAACAAAAGAAACATTTTTACATCCACGTTGTAGTAAACTTTCTCATTTTTATGGTTTACTAAAAAATCACGTACTTTATATCCCATTAAAATAAATAATACATTTATATTTATAAAATATGTCGAAAATAACTTAATTAATAATCCAAACAAAAAAACCTGTGATTTGGGGTACATTGATGATGTTTTCGGAATTTACATTTGATGATTTAAATAATTCTTTGGATAAAGAACAATCTGCTTTGATGCAAAAGTAATTCGATACATGACATGACAACTTAAATCGAAAAAATAGTATCCTTTCTGCCCTGTTTCATACGAATAAATGAGAAATGAGATACGTCTCCAGAAAGTGCAATTTTATATTGTATATAATAAGTATAACTTTTTTCGAATGAGATATGGATAATATCTCATTTCGTATCCGTCAGTCATCTACTTTACCCGAACATAACGCAACATAGAGAAGGTAATTTATTTTGACTGTCATCTGTCTGTTGGTATATGAACTGCCTGTCAGGAACAATATCTCACATTTACAACTAATTTAGATCACGTTTCGACTCAAAACTTATTCCACTTTTCCACGTATAACGAATTAAACGCGAAATTTAGCCATGATGTAGTAAATGGACGGGAAGGGTCGTTTTTTTAATAAATTTCTTCATTTGTACAGAGTGAACAAAAAAATGCCAGTAAATTTAATGTAAGAAAGTGAAATTTGAATGAAATATTACATGCAATGGAGATATACCTAAGAATTTATTTGTTTAAATGTTGGACTATACAGGGTGATTTAGAACTTATCCAAAAAAAAAAAAATTCTGGATGTACAGGGGACCCTTACAAATACAATTCTGGTCCACTGTAAAACCTGACCTCGCACAATGCGACCGGCATGGAGGTGTGATAAAAACGGACAAAAAACTTTCGCAAGGAAAGAAATAATAAGAATTTTATATCACATATTTTATATCGGCAAATTCAACTGCTTTTGCCTTTATTGTTATTATTAATTAATAAAATTGATTTATGTTTTTAAATAATAAAATCATTTGACATACCCGATGTTACAACAACAATTGTTCAAAATTTTATCAACCAACGTGTAAACACATTTGGGTCCGTCTTACTCAGTTTCCACGAACTAACACAAAAACTGTCTTGTTTCACTATAACACAAATGCTTCACCATAATACAAATGTTGTCTTGCTTCACCATAAATTAAAACGATATCCATCAACTCTGAGTTGCTATACACGCAAACCATTTTTGACACTAACTACTAAAAAAACTATTGTAAACATCACAGATAACAGGTAAACACTATCGCAACGACGATTGCAAAATCGGATTTCAGTATTCGGAGTCGCGAGGCAACGTGGCTCTCCATGCGTATTGCGAATAACGCTAGAGACTACAGTTGTTCAGCTATGTAGTGGTTGAATGTACTATAACTTCAATAATTTTTTTCTCGGAAGCTATAAGGATTTTACAAAAATTTTTTTTACGATATCGACTCCATTTTTCATGCCACATCTATTCCCAAATTGGTTTGGATAAGTTGTGAATCACCCTGTATAAAGTTAATCCAAAGTCGTGCACGAAATTAGCCTCTTTTCGTTAATAGGCCAGGAAATATAGAGTTGGACGCGACTTTATGTTTCGGTAAGCTGAATTTATCACTACAGATGCTAAATATTATGTACAATAACAATAATATGTTATTGTATATAATATTTAGTATATATAGTGATAAATTCAGCTTGCCGAAACAAAAAGTCGCGAAATGGTCATTTCCCAGCTTATTTTCCTGGCCTATAAAAACGGTAAAAGAATTCAACAAACAAACAAGTGTGTGCTTTAAATTAAAAGCAGTTATTCCTGTTAAAATGGGGTTTAATTTATACAATAAATCGCATTTACAGAATTAATCTTTTAGTTTTGGAATTGTAATACAAAGCGGAATGGAAACATGTTTAAAAAATGACACTTTATTTACCTCTTGATATACCTATTTGTTGTTATTCGATCAGTGTTTTGAAATTTGCAAAAAAACTTTTCATAACATCAGCAAAAGACCCACCAGGTATGTATAACATTTTTAATATAATTCTCAAGCAACTGTACGGCGTGAATATTAAATGAAAATTTTTAAATCTTCTCTGAACCGAATACTTTCGGTAAAAATTCTTTCTGTTTCCAACAAATGAGATACAGGAATAAAGAAGTACGGTACTTTTAACAAATATTAAAATCAGCGTGAAAATTAATGCCTAAAATATTAAATATAAAATAAAGAAGGAAAGGACCATAGGCGCCGAAGCTCTTATACTCTGAGGGCGCTCAAATTACATAAAACAGCAGAAAGCGCAAAGTGCGAGGAAAAAAATTGTTAGCGATTTGTACTTATAAAAATAATAATACAAGTTTCTATGACACCGATTCGAAAAGCCAATATTAACGAAGTTGTACATGTCTCTTAGTGTAACTTTTTTTATTAATTGTAATTATAGATGATTTAGCAGATTTTAATGCTTACAACTGTATAGGACATAATTTTCTTCTACGTTAAAATCCTGCTCAAGTTTTGAAAACTTAGACTTCTGTGCTATCATTAGTTTCCGATTAAATAATTATCAAAATCAAAAAGGTAATTTTTACTTTGAACGACGATAACTCACCAACAAATCATCGTATAAAGCTCTGGAATAGCTTAAATTGAAGAGGATGATTCAAACTTAAAGACCTGATAGGTGGGATTGCCAAAAAATTTTGGTGAAGCCTTTTGAAATGGAAGCAAAAATTTTGATTTTTCCGCTCGATTTCTTAAAAATATTTGACGTTCAGATCCTGAAACTAGAAATTAAGCTTCAACTTGATTTTTGTGACTAAGATATTTATTTCTGTTTGGCCCCCACCTACCCATCCATTAGGCCACCCGGCATTTGTGCTGTTTGTGCCTCAATAAAATATTCCGTGTTGGGGTCTTAAGAGGTAGACGTTTGGAATTAAGACTTGTTTTCATAATGTTATGGCTTTTTAAGAGCTTTGGGCTGGATAAATGTTATTTTAAAGGCGGAGCAAAATGGAAAATGATTGAGGAGCATTGTCGTCGGCCTTAAAAATAGGAAACGTAGCGCCTACATACAAAAATATAAACACAACAGACGGACAGACAGACGAGCAGTCGGCCGCGTGGTCCTGAAATAAACCAAAGTGTATTTCTGTTAAAAATGTCGTGTGTCGCCAAATAACCAAGTTAAAACTCCGCACGTGAAGCGGCCAAATTCCATATTCTCCAGGCGGACTAGGAATTGTACGAGCAATACAAACAGTTAGCTGTGCTATCCCTAAACAGCGGCGCAGTAGTGAACCACCAGATCAATAAACTCCCTCCTCGTCTCGACTTCAGCTGCTAGGAGTTTACAGGAGCACAACCGGTAGAGACGGTGACACACAAGTAGCAGCTCAAACTGTGTAGATTACGCGGGTCGGGTGTGATTGTGAACGTTGTGGTAGATCGGTTCAAACTTATGTTTCATTTGGACCTTGTAAATTTTGGTGAATTAAATTTCACCTAATTTTATGTATCCTGCTGTATAGAAACACCAAACCGCTGTTTTTTTGTATACTGACGATATTTAACACGATGAAAGTACACACCCTTTTCGCACTATTTATCCAAATCACTCATTTTTCATTGTAAGTTTTTGCCAAATTTTTTTACTTCAAATCCACTAAGTTTTATTCTGACTTTATTCCCCATAATCTCAGGTAAGTCGAGACAGATCAACCATTTTACCAAACAGCTTTCTTAATATTTTTTTACAGAAACGTAAACATTGCTCGGCGTCAGCATCTCGTATTTTCAGTTTTTACCCTCTGCAATAAGTGACGAGACAGATAATCACGTTTCAATGACTCTTTAAAATTAGTAACATTAAATTCCTGCAATTTATGTTTGAATTACAAAACATAATGCGATTATTTACCAAAACACACTGCATACATACATTTTTTGCGCTTTCACACACCTCCACAATCGTACCTACCTCAATAAAAATTTTGCTTTCTAGGCGCCATATTTGATATTTACATTCTTCAACACCGATGCTATTTTAATCCCAGAACACGTGTAAATTTAAGGAAATAAATAATAATTCTAGTCAGCAAATCTTAGATTATTTGAAACAAAAAAATTAATAAAGACCAATTTGTCAATTTTATAGCAAGACATGCAGAAATATTGCACATATTTTTAATCAATACACATTTTTGATTTACTTTATATCATACGCATACAATGTAAACTGCAATTCCAATTTTTTTCCACTCATAAAAGTAACGATAAAAGCTTTTTTAACACTTTCTCAAAAAGCCAGTGTTAACGGAACTATACTATATAACTTCACAGTTATTATTTTTATTTAATGTTTTGCCTTAACCCTGTATTCGATAATTTTTTTCAAATTTTAGCACATTCGTTTTGATAGCAAACTACCTATACATATTTGTGAAAAAAAATCTAAATGGTTTTTTAAAAAATTGTGCACTATTTATGGTTTCTCTTCTTCCAAGGCCGTTAACCGTTTTTGAGAAAAAAAAACATTAACGCTTTGGTATGGTCTTATGTGTTTGATAATTTATCATTAATATTATTATTTTTCATAACTTCTCAAAATTATTCAATGTTTATTAAATTCTTACAATCGTATAAAATATGATTTTCTTGTATATTGAATCCTGCTTCGCTTACATTGCCTTGCAGCTTGTTAAAAAAATTAAGTAATTGAAAAAAGTTATGATTAAATATTAATTAATTGATTTGGAAAAAAATAAATGTTAAAACTTTCGTCAGAGATAATTTCACTATACTTATACTTTCTGAAGAAATTTTTCTATTCCCAATATTCAAGTCAAATATTAAAACTCCTAAACGAAGAAAAAGTAGTAATAGATGAAATAGAATGGTAGATATAGTTCTAATGAAATAACTGGACCCAAAAAGATTTTGCAGAATTATAAATTTGAAATTTTTTTCATGAAAAACGATTTCTTAAATAAAGAAATTGTAAATATATTTTTAAACTAACTAAACTTTTCTCCATTAAGACAAACGTTCTTTTAAGTGAAGACATTTTTTTTTAGTTCAAGATTATGGTATACGAGCATCAAGAGTATATTTGTTTGTGTGTATGTAAATATATTGTTCTTGATTTAAGAAATCTATTTGCGTGTAGAAGCAATGATTTTCAAAATTACATATAAAAATAACCTCTTTAATTTGTCGAATAAATCTAAATTTGTAAGAAGGTTAAATTGATTTTTTTTTGTTACAGGAAATAAACGTTTTATTTATGAGACTGTAGAAAGTGAGAACACCTTATTAAATTTTATTTACGTTACTCGGTTTTCTGAAGCGGGGTCAGATTTGTGTCCCACATTATAAAAGTCGACATTTTTAAACAGATAAAAACATGTATTATCATTCCGTATATTGGACAGACCCCAATTTTAGTAGTCATTATTTAGCTGACGTGCTACTACCTACATTCCGAAGCAAAGCATTGCCACCAAAACATTTTATTTTCTCAATGCAACAAAGTTTCGTTAACAGTTGTTCTGACGTCAAAGCAGTTTTTCTAAAAAAAACGTAATTGCCATAAAATTCAACTGCGAATTTTAACATAGCACTGAAACCCGTTTCATATTAAACACCCTTTTTGAAAAGGTGACCGTTTTTCGTTTTTTTGGATTATCTGTCTTTAAAAAAAAATAAACGATTAAATTGGACAATAAATACGGTTTTACAAAACTGTTTCCATTTGGAATCACCTTTCATTACTCGTCTTTACAAAACTAAACAGTTGGCGAATTTTAGACGATGGCAACGTTTAAATCTGTAACCAGATATTGATTTCTCGTTATTTTTTAACGGGTATAACGTATACCACTGTTACTTTTTAGTCAGAAGAAGAAAGAATTTTTGATGAATGATTAAATTGCAGTTCAAATATCACAATAATTATGAGAACATTTTTTCCGTTTTAATAATATGTAGTCTTACTATTGATAAATATTATTTTCATTAAAAGAGACTAACAAGCGTTTCGTAGTTCTACAAGCTTCAATCCTCGTTTAATATTATCTGTTCTAAGAAAAAGGTATTCACAATTGGTTGTGTGAATTATAAAAAATGTTTTGTTTATTACAATTACGTAATATATTCATAAATAATTCGTGTAAATGTATAATTGTAGAGTGAGATTCTGTAAATAGTACTCCAGGAATTTTCAAAAACTAATTATGCCGGAGAATAATTTAAACCTCACTATCTTGGCTCTAAAACCTACTAGGTAATATGAGTTCATCTTTCCAATAACGCACGAGCTATTAATGATGCCTTTAATGTGCTATATTCAATCCTTTCACTGAGGGTAGACTGTAATGAATTTTTTAAGTAGATTTGGCTTAAAATTTGTATGTATGCGTATACTTTTAATTACTCTTTTTTGAATCACGAATTCGCACCAGTACGTTGCTAGTAATTCTCTATAAAAACAATTTTTTGGGAGGCAAAAGAAATAAATATGTACTTTAAGATTTGGTAAACGTTTACGAATTTCAGGAAACGTATTTTTAACAAATAAAAACATAAGTCATAAATATGCAAGTATATTTAGTAAATACTGATTATTTATATTGTGCTATTTTAATTAAAGACACAACTGAAAAACTTATTGATTTCCAGATCATAGTGTTTTGCTTTGACCTTCGTAGACCCACTTTCATAAGTAATTTTTTAAAAATACCATTAATTTTGTAGTCCGCAGAAGAATTAGTGATAAATCGTAGAGTTTGGACAGTTAATAGGAAAACTTAGTTGACTTAGAAAACAAAATAACATCCTTCTTTAGCTGTCATTCTCTCTAGGCGCCATATTTTGTCGGTGATAGATTGAAAAAACGACATTCTTTTGTTTCCCAAACTAACTTTGTTTTCTTATCATCCCCCTTTGGGGTTTTCAGTTTACTCAAACTCGATACGTTAGAAACGTCTAACACAGAATAGACGAAAAAAATTGTTACATTATTAAGCTCATATAAACAGTCTCGTATTTGAAGTTTATTTCGCCCAGTTCTTTCTTAGAAATTACGAACTGGAAATGAAACGACAAGAAAAAATGCTGTTTGGTAAAGCATGTAAAGGGTTTGTGATGTTAAATATGTTTACCATCTTACAATAACAAAAAATGTTGCCTGGTGAATATATTTATAGAATGAGGTCGAAACCTCAGATTTACACTTAGTGGATTTGACAGTGGAATGACCTAAATGCCAGTAAGGGATGATCAGTTTGTATCCGGGTTTAGATTTTCCTTAATGCGAAGGTACATGGTGAGGGGAAAAACTGAATAATGCTGATAACAACTTCGGCATATCGATTTTGATCGAAATGACCTAAATAGAATTTGCCTCGTGTACCTATCACAACATGTTCACATCAAAGTTTTAACGTCTTGAATATTAAATATTATGTACACAGGATCTGCCAATATTCCGTGTACGTGGGACAACCACAGATTTTTTTGGTCACCTATTTACTCGCCAGAGGTCGCCAGAGTTAGCAAAGAGCGTTAGTTTTTTTCCAACGCCACAAAAACGTTTTTATTATACGAAAGAATTCGAAACATTAGTAAAAATGTAATATTATAAACATATATTTTCTACGGGAATTTTGTTTTTGTAAAACGTTTAAATAATGCCTTGCCTTGCAAAATCGAATAAATAAGTTGTTTGTTAAGTGTACAGGGTGTAAAAGCGATATTGCAATAAACTTTACAGGACGATTGTTATGAAAATAAAAAAAGAATAACATTTTTTTTCTTAAAGCTATAATTAAGGGCTCTACAACCTTGAAAAAAATAGGATGTGCGACAATACAATTAAATACAAGATGATGGATGTTTTGGTAAATGATTTTTTCTTAAAAACGACTGAAGATAATTAAATTATGAAAAAAGCCTCATATTTTCACCGACAGAGAAAGTGTTTGGTTTGTAAAGCTTTTTTCTATTTAGCGTTTTTCAATTCTCGAAAGGACAAAGAAATTTGATTCAATCGAACTTTTTCTTCACTTTTCAGTTTATTATTTTGTGAAATGAGAGATTTTGGAACTAATTTTTTTTTTCCTACATTTGAATTAACAGCCATTGAAAATATATCATTTTCATCATTTAATTACTGACAGTTGTTTCCAGATGTAAGATATTTCGTAAAGTGTCCTGTTCGTTAGCAAAAACAAAATATATAATGGCGATGTAATGCCTTCAAAGGTCAACGGATGAAATCTAATTATTTTGCTCTAATTTCTCAACAATTTCAACCACGTAATCAAGCACATATCCGATCCCATCCATTTAGCTGGTTTCCGTTATATTAGCGTGAACTTGTGTAAACTTTAAATTATACTGATTTTCACCTATGTCTACTGCTAACCATACCCAAGAGACCCAAATGCTTTCATTGGGAATGTATACAAATCCGTGCAAGATTTTCTATGACATCAGACAGTTTAGCTTCCATTAAAACTTTCCTTAGCTGATTGTTGATATGACGAAATGAATAAGTAAATTATAACTAGTAATAAATAGCAGCTATTACTGTCAGTGTTGACGATATTATTCGAATTCAAAAAAATTGAGAAGGTACAAGGTTTGTCAGGACGAAGAAGAAGAAAAAATATACCACGGCGTTGGAAAGTATTTGATTGAGACCAACGCTGGATGGTGCCTGCACAACAAACAGAAGACATACCAAAGAAGTTGATGAAAGCAATTATGGAGACAGTTTTTGCTGCAATCTTAACTGTGATTGACGAAGTGCTTTTTCAGATATTCCACAGGAATCAGCAAAAGCGTTTAAATTACGTTTTCTTCCGGTGACATTTAGATTTCTACATGAAAAGGAATATGAAGCTTTTGTCATTTGGTGCTACCGGAAAAGGACTTCAAAGTGGCAAAACTAGTTACTTTTGCTTAATTATAAAATCAAGAAGGCAAGCACTTTAATAAGACAAGTTCTTACTTTTTAACTGAATCGATCTGATAGTAAACCTTTACTAATGAAGATTGTCATGGTAGTGCTTCAACGGAGATTTCTCCCTTCATTCGAACCAAGAACAAGCTTTTCGGTTCAGTTTAGAAATGAAAAAGCAAGACTCAAAATCTACTAAGTACATTAAAATACGCCTCAGTTTTAGAAGATCTTCAAAATCGCTTTTGGTTAACTCAGGATATGACACTTTAGAAGAGAAAGACTGGTTAAGACAAAATTAAAAATGCTAATGAAATTTTTAATACCAAAACCATTAAAAATATTTGAAAATTTTGAAAACTATATCAATATGACTTACCAATGTAAAAATTTGATTCATTTTGAAAAATAACATTACATACGTTATTTAGAGTTAGAAGAAAAAAGTTCTATTAAACATTTCTCTGTCCACTCGAGAAACAAATAGAAAAAAGTTTTACAACCAAACGCGTTCACGTAAATTTGATTTAATTCTGCAAAATAACTGTAGAAACGTTTATTTAGAAGAAAAAAGTCCGTAGTTCTTTAACTCCATCTGTTTTTCCTATCTTAAAGATGAGAAATTCAGGAAAATGATTTTAACTGTTAATATCTCGAAAATAGTTGAAAGTGTAAAAAAAGTCTTACAACTAAAAATTCTTTCATGCGGCATATTACTGGAAACAAAAATACCAGAGCGCCACCGAGTGGTGTGATTATACAACTAATTTTTAGTTTTAATTTACAATTAATTTTTAAATTATACAACTAATTTTTTTATTAACAGCCATGGAAAATGTAACATCATCATTGAATTATTTACAGTCGTTTTTAGGATGTAAGGTAATTCGTAAAATGTCCTGTCGCGAGTAAACATAAAATAGATAGTGACAATGTAATGTCTGCAAAGTCCACGAATGAAATCTAATCACTTTGCTCTAATTTCTCAGCAATTTCAACCATGTAATTACATAGATAGCCAATCCATACGTTTATCTGGTTTCCGTTAAATTAACGTGAACTTATGTAAACTTTAAATTATACTGATTTTCACCTATGTTTACTGCTGACCGTACCCAAGAGACCCAAGCGCTTTGATTGGAAATGTATATAAATCCATTGAAGATATTATATGACATCAAATAGCCCTTTAGGTGCTGTTGAAACCTCGCAAATCTCTTGTAAAAAAAATTATATTATTATATTATTAATTGTTAATATACTGTTAATTAACTAACTAAATCAATGTAAATTGTTTTTTCACCTAAAATTATAAAGATGCTAAGCTAATTCAAACAAATTAAAAAAAAATGGGGAGGTACAAGGCTTGTGAGGAAGAAAAAAAAAATTACTGCATTTGAAAGCATTTGACTGAGATCTACGATGGATGATGCATACACACCAAACAGAAGACGTATGAACAGAAGTTGGTGAAACCAATTTTGGAGACTTTTGCAACAATGTTAATTATGATTGATGAAAGCGATTACAGTGCTTTTTCAGATGATCCACAGGAAAAGGAATATAAGACTTTTATCGTTTGGTGCTATCAGAAAAGATCTTCAAAATGGTAATAAATTGGGTAAGAAACCCAAATGTTGTCAAGAAGAATGATGCCGGCAATAACCCTTATTAAAAAGTGTTTCTTAAAATAACAAAGTGTCGATACCCATAAGAAGACAAGCACTTTAATAAGACAAGTTCGTACTTTTTAACTTTTACTAATGATCATGGTTTTGCTTCAACTGAGATCATTTTATCCGAAACAAGGGCAAAAATCATCCAACAAGGTTTTTGGTCCAGTGTATAGGAATAGAAAATGCACTATAACTTTAGAAGGTCTTCAGAATCGTTTTTGGTCATCTGGGGATATGACACTTTTAGGCCTAGCTTATTCCGTAGTCGCAAAATCATGTGAGACATAGTATGGTGAAGAGAAAATTACTAAAACACTATTTATTTTGAAAATTGATAATTACTTCCAAGTGCTGCAGTCTAACCATGGATATAATGATATACTTACTTTTCACTACTTAAATTTTGTCGCAAAGTCGCTGTTACTCCCTGTGTGTGTATAGACGGACACACTTTTTATACAAGTTTGTTCTTTGTAAATAAAATGTAGGTATCCTATATTTCCAATTTAGATTGATGCGTAATCCTAATCAGCTTACCAGCATTATCACTTTTTCCTATATGTTCGCAAGGAAGGAAAATAAATATGCTCCAAAGATATTTTTAGTTATTTTTGTACCGTTTCATATGAACTTTGTAGAAAAATTTGGATACTTACTGATCCACCATCCCGTAACGCATAAAAACCAATATGTTTACCGTAGTTGTACAAATGTCAAAATCAATTTCCGAGAAAAGGAAAAGGAAGTCCTGGATCAGATCCTGGGCCCAGGCCGCTACGACGCCCGGATCCGACCTTCCGGAGTGAACGGCACAGGTAAGTGACTTAACCTTAAGAATATTTTTCCATGTAGGGAGACCAGACGACATACCACTGTCCAGAGATTCCAGTGTAACTTGTTTGCTTGTTGTAAATATGTAAATGTAACACGATATAATCATCACTCTAGATGGGCCTGCCATAGTCCGGGTAAACCTCTTTGTGCGCAGCATTGCCACCATAAGCGACATCAAGATGGTAAGTGGTGGCCCCACCATTTCAGTAGGGTAGTGTAGAGGTGCTACACGAGCCAGCATGGGGTGGCGGCGATTGGCGATTCTTCTTCGCGATCTCTTCATTTTCGGTGTGTGGGCGACACAACACTTCCTCGAAATCTAGTCGCTGGTTCCATGCAAACATAAGTTCTAGCAGTTCAAAATAGTCCAATAGCTCATGCTTGCTACAAGTGCAAACTTTGGAAAGGCACAAACTAAGCCAAGCAGCCGAGCTTACTAGGTATATAGATTCCTTGATAGGACTTTTGAAAATATAAATTATTCTCAAACAACAAAATGTTATACAGGGTGTTTCTGAAATACTTGCTTTCTTTGAATAAGGTGATAGCATATTCAGTGAAAACTGGAACCGACATCTCTGTAACGTGAGTATTTGCATCACACCAATAAACATTTTATACGCCGGCTAAGTAATACTGCAATACACAACACACGTGCACAAGATGCACAGGGTCGGCTTATATTTATGGTTAATTTTCTTAATTCATTTAGGAGGTTTATGTGATTTGGAATTGACGAACAAATATTCATAAAAAAATTAATATAAGCTTATTAATATGAAGAAAATCCTCAAAAAAAATTATGACTAGTTTGGATACCTAAGAGACGAGATATTAATAAAATAATTTTTCACGATTTAGTACAGTCTTATGAGAATGCAGATTTTTTTTGGTCTTTCCACTTAGAATACGCAACAATTGACGAACAGTTTCCACAGCAACTTGTATAAATAGGAAACCGATATCTAAGGAACCGTATGATAGCTTGTAGAAATCGATTAGGTACTTGTAAGATACATAATTTATAATAATTCTCCTTCAAACTGCTGTCGTTGACTAACTTATCCCCCATATGCGTGATAGCGGCAACGCCGCGGTCTCGACGTAGCGTATTATTTGAAATTCGCAGGTGTCCAAACAAACAGAATGATCGAACGCCGAGCCGAGCGCGCCAGCCAAGTGCAACGTTGCCAAATCTAAAGGCTTACCACTTTAGTCACTAGCGACTCTACAGAGACTTTCGTTTAGACGTACCTCCGTACCCGATAAACCTCCTTAATAAAAGTTGCACATTTTCGAAACTTTTTCGCCCTTTTCAAGGAACGTACTTACTTCAAAAACACCCTGTATATGCAGTAAAAGTGACCCACATTTAGTTTATTTGGAAAATTATAAAGAATTGGTACCCAATAAGTTTAATATTAAGATTCAATAATTACACAAAATATTCTGCAACACCTTGTAAAACGAAATTTGTTGAATTTTAAAGCTTATTCGAGCGGATATCAGAACACAAAATACACTTTACAGTTAATCAACTCGGAAGGTTATGAATAATCAGAAAATTTAATTTTAAAATTGAATGAAATAAACTCGCTTTAATATATAAACGAAAATTATCCTTCCGTTTTGCGTAAATATGAGATTGGACTGTAAATCCCTTTATGAAGTTAAGGTTATATATTCAATTTCACAAATTTGTCTATATACGTGGGCCCGGCAAAAATCCCCTATAATTAGGCGTATAACTCCGTAATCAAAGGCAGAATATTACATCAAACGTTTATGCGGTTTACAGGTTTACGTGAAACGCAAACATAAAGTTTATCCAATTAGCCTTTGTTACACGAATTCCATAAATTAAAAATAATTAAAACCTTTTCAATTAACTAACCATCGTTTGTGGCTGAAACCGAAATGTAAAGCATTTGAATGAAAAAGGATTTTTTTACCAGCGGACCTTTCAGTGAACAAACAAAACAAATTTGGCCAGAGGAAGAAGGCGTGGTTATTTAACTGAAACAAATTGGATCATGTAAATAGCTGTCGTTGCCTTGCTTTTAAACCAAAGTTTAGGGCTGACGTCTCGCAAAAACAAAGCCGTACGACTTAGATCGGAAAAGTAATGCAAAAATCTGTACGCGAATGACGTCACCACCGCTGGAAGGAGGAAAAGCAAACACACCAACACGTTCTCGAATATATACACTACCTTTATTCCAAAAGGTTTTAGTGCGATGTTTATAAATCTTAAAGCAGTTTTACTAGAGTTGAAAAGCGAAAGAAATAAATTTTAAAATATGAAACATGGGAGAACTAACATATATACATATATAACAAACGTTATATTAAACATATGACCCAAAAGAGTAAAAACAGGATAAAATAAACAAATACTGATCGTACTGAACAACAACTTGCACATATGTTCTAACAATCCATAAACAGTTTGCGATTAGTTCGCGAACAGTTCGCGATCCGCTCGCAAACAGTTCGCGTTCACCCAACGGACTGTCTGCAAAATGTTCAATCAATAGTTGATATACGACAAAAGTTTCTAAATTTATCGGGCGACTAAATTTCTTGGCTATCAACAGCACGATTTGCAACTGTAATGAATTCCTGATACATTTGCTAGTGGAGACGCATCATTCGATGGTCGACGGAAATTTTGGCAAGCACACGTGAAGAAATATAAAGATGCTAATGTTACATGAGCTGATAGTGATCTTAACGTAAACAATTTTCGAATTTTCTGGATGATCGCGATCACCCAACAGCCTGTTCGCAAAACGTTTGCGTTAAGATCGCGAGCTGCTCTTGTAACATTAGCATGCTCGCCTTTGTTCACATCGAGCTCGATAAAATTCCAGTGTCATCCATTTAAGATAGATAGAGTTCTTAGGCAGTTAAATCAAAGGTGCTAAGACGTTTAAAAAATTTTGCAACTAGTATATTTACATAAAAATGTAGGTGAATGACGTTACTCGAGAAAGTTACGTAAACAAACCAGTAGGTACTTTAGATATTATTTTAATCCCATCGATTTTATATCGGGAAATATACCAAACATTCACAGCGTTCAATTTACCTTGAATTATAAAAAAAACCTTTTAGACGCTTTTAAATCGTGAACTGTAACAAATAAACAGTAGAAAATTGTTCGAAACATTAAAGTAAATAGGAGCTTTAATTTTAAATATAGAGAAATAGAAACGTGAGATAGGAGAGCTTAGTTTGTAGCATTCCATACTAGTTTAGACTTTTTAATGTTTCGGGAGATGTATCACTTTCTTGTTCGTTACAAGATCCAATTTATGGAGCAAGTAAATATTATTAGCAATTTTCATGAAAGCCAAAGCCTGATAAAAAAATTAAAAAACTCATTTGGTTAATAATCTAGAAAATATAGATATCAAGGAATAATAACTTATTTATTAATGATGCACTTCATAAATAACTTTATTTTCCACACTCGCCAATTCTGTTTAACGATGAACATCCTTATTAAATTATCCTTTAGAGGTTAACTACCTACATCCCTATTACATTCTCTAGACACTTTACACAAACACTTCACAGAAGTGTTTGCATACAGAAGTGCTTCAAATATTTAGTACACTATAATTGTCCTCAATTTATATAAATTTAGCACCATTTGCTTCGGAGCGTGGCAATGTGTATCCCAAATTTAAATTGTATAATTGGTCCCTTATATAGTAAATAAGGAAGTAGTTTTTTTTAATGGATCTGTTTGCGTATCAGAATCGTTTCTTTTTTGTGATTACTTACATGTCATATATTTGCTTTGATAGTTTGCCCAATTTGTTTTTCTTTAATCATCATTTTATTCTATTAGAAACGTAAGGGAATATAAGGTTCGTAGAATATTACGTGAATGTCCCTGTAAAATCAATTTGGCTAATACCTCCTTATATAACACTTTATTTGAATTCAAACGATTTTATTCTAGACTACAAGTCCATCGAAAATTCTCAAGGGGTCATTTCACCCAACATGTATTACTTATAAATCAATACTACCATACTTTCTAAAGTTATTGTTATATGTGGTAGTATTGATTTATAAGTAATTCATGCTGGGTCAAATGACCCCTTGAAAATTTTCGATGGGCTCTATTCCAATAGTATGCCATTGTCATCAAACTTATGACGTAAAAGGCTATTACATTACTAAGGTCCGCGAGTTAACCGTACATTACAGGGTTGTACTTTGTTTTTTTATATCATTATGAAAAATTGAAGGTTTTGCAGATTCCAAATTTTAACATAATAAATAATAGAACGGAAGTAAAAAATAGGCTAGGCAATCTGATGTTTAGACAATTTCTTGAAAATTGTATTAGTAGAAAATATATCAATGTCGTGACCCTTATGTTTGATACCTATATCAGATCATGAACATATTTAGTACCTAAGTATGAGAGAAGGTGAATATAGTAAAAACTATTTAGTAATATTGTTACAAAAATGTCTGTAGAAATTGTGTTTTGTTTTATGACATGGTTTTTCTCTGTAATGAATCCATAACGATTATTTATTTTATTTATTTGAAAATACATTATGCTACAGGTTTTGATCCAATTATAGAACAAGAGGGTGCAGAAGAAAATAAAATAGCGTAGGTACTAGATTGTTAAAAAATAGTAATATAATTAAAAAGCCAGATATAAAGCTAATATTTAATATATGCTAAGATATTAAGGCTAACATTAAAAATCTGATGCCACTGGTGTATTTATTACATTTTCTGTACATAAAAGTGAACAGTTTGTAAGTTCATTCGCGCCTTCTCCGAGTGAAATATTTATAATTTATTGCGCACGATAAATTAAATAATAATAGACCTAGAACGGAACTTTGAAGCACACCGGAAGAGGCTCGAAATACAATTTGCAAGCCATTGTAAACAACTCATACGGTTAAATATGATTTAACCCACAATGCACAATTAACAACTT